AAAAAAAATCTGATATTTTATTTCATGGCTAAGCTAAGGAACCATGGAAAAGTAATTTTAAAATTGGTGTGTTAAGAAGACTGGCTTTGAAAGATGAAACGTGCTCAGATGGGAAGTAGGAAGAGAGATTAGTAGGAAGGATATATGTTCCTCCGTATATAAATCTCGATCTTTCCACGGGTTGGTTTTATCCCACCAGGGTCTGGGACGAGTGCAGGAAGGGACCCCACCCAAGTTTATTCTTGAACGAATTAAAATTCAAAAGCTCCGGCCATGGAGCTGTGTGGATTGTGAATGTCTGGAAACCAGCATATTTTTTCCTCTCTGAATTGCCTTCTGTTTAGACAGGGCTTAGTGAAACCAGCAGCGAAACCGAGGAGAATTCTGCCGTTTTTAGAATGAGGAGCCATGCAACTTCAGTGCATCAAAGCGGGTGACGCAGGCCCAGTAATTCAGACCGGCCGCAGCAGAGAGCAGCCTTCCGACCTGCCCCAGCTCCCCCAGCCCACGTCTAGGCCCACTCCTTCAGCCACACCTTTTGCTTCCCAGGCTCAGTTCCCCCAGATGTAACAGCCTTCGATTTCCTGCAGCGTCTGTGAGCTGCTGGCCTGCCAAGCTGGCTTCTCCCTGCAGCCTCCAGGTGGATGCATGTTCTCTTCCCCAGGGCCATGTCCTTGGGGCATTCGGAGTCTGAGTGGGTGTGCCCGGGAGCAGCCCCCTGTGGGGCCCTCAGCCTTTGTGTGTGTGCAGGAACAATTCTTCCTGGGAACACAAGAGACTGAAGGTCCCACCCCATCCCTCCACCCCTACTTCCTGCACTTCTCAATGGCAGGGGTGTGACCTGGGGGGTCTTTTGTGGAGGGACGCAGGCAGTGCCCAGCACAGCCCCTTATCTCCACGTCCCCTCCCCGCTTCTCCTGGTTCTGTGGGAGAGGCTTTCCTGCCTGCTGTGGGCTGGGCAGGCCAAATGCAAGTTTTCCAGGATGTGGGCATGGCACATAGGTGGGTCTGCACACCCAGATCCCAGGCCTGTACGTTTGGGAAGTACCTTAGGGAGAAACTTCCACGGGACCTCTTTATGTCATTTTCTAAAAGAAAGAATCAGGTTATAGTAACTGTGGTATCTTAAACGCACAGAGATAGCACTCCAAAAAGTGCAAATAACTGACGTGAGCTGTGGTCCGGTGCCCGGTGCATCTGGCCACTGCCTCTTGGGAAAGTCCCCGTCGCCCAGGCCTGGCCCTGATGGTCACCATGGCGCCCTGAGGTGTCAGTTTACCTGTGGTGTGGCCTTGTTCCCTTTACAATGCGCTTTCTTAGGTCGCGCCTCACTTATTTGGGATTACTGACTACCCAGCAGGCTCGGGCAATGTGATTTTTTTTCTTTTTTAACTGCCAAGTAGCAGGCGGGGCTGGACCACAGCTTGGGGCTCGGGCGGCCGTACCTGGCAGCGGACTGCCTCTCCAGACGCGATTGATGAGGGACAGCTCTGAAGTCTGCGAAGGATGCTCACGTCAGTTCTTCCGAGGGGTGTGGCTTTGAGAGCATGTCCCCTACGGAGGATGGGTTTGGACCCAGACAAGGCAACGTTATGGGCCTGGTCTCCCGGGCTGGGCCGTCCCGGCTGTGGCTCAGGGGCTCCTCTTGGGTTTTAGGGGACGGTGAAGGGTCGTGCCTGGGGCTGGGCAGGGATTAAAGAACTGGATCTGCATATTCTCCTGGGGCCCAAGGGGAGATGGAATTGCCCAGGGTGGGCTCAGCCACTCTAGGTTTGGAAAGCCCAGAACAATCCACCCAGCAGGTCCTTGCTGTGCTCACACCCACCTTCAACCTTGACCTCTGCAGGCAGTTGTGGCACCGGGTGGAGAACCCAGTGCACAGAATGCAGTTCTTTTCCAATCAGGGCTGGGGTGGAGGTCAGGGAGCCTGACAGGTTGGAAGAGAGAAAGAGGCAGGGCTGGAAGGTTGGGGGTGGGTGGGACAAAGGTCCAAATCAAAGCAGGTTGGGGGTTCAGTACTTAGTGTCAGGTGGGACAGAACAGCACGTATGCACCCCTGTCCTCAGCACGCACAGGTGCCTGGCACAGGGCTGGTGTTGGGGGGGCTGAGATGAATGAACTCATCTTTGTGTTGAGTAGACTGTGAGATGAACAAACACGTTCTGTGATGAGCAGAGGGTCCCCTGTACCTTTACCTGCAAGGTCACCTTGACCGAGGAGCAGAGGAGGGTTCTGGAAGGCTGTGGGGGGCTTGGAATGTACAGCTGTCTAATCCGGGCCCGTCCATGGAACCTTCCTAGGCTAGAGTCCTATAACTTCCCCTTCCCTCCCAGAGGTTGTGAGGTTGGACGGGGTGATCCTCTCCCAAAGTAAGGGGCTGATCCCAGGGTCACGCAGGATCCTGGGAGGCCAGAACATTGCCTGTCTTCTCCTTGAGAGGGATGGGTACCAGTCAGGAGCCCCCAGTGGACTGAGTCCTGTTTTCGGGCATCCTGAGAAGGCAGGTATAGTCCCTGGGGTTTCAGAACCTCAGAGCCGGTGGGATGGTGCCTGCTCTCTGTGCGAGCCTCGCCCTCTGACCTCTGATGAGGCACGTCCCTATTTGTGGAGCCAGGAGCTGGCCTGTGATGGTGCCCGGTCGCTGCCTCCTTGGTGGCCGAGGCAGAAGTGACAGTAAAAATGTCACTTTCCTGGCCTTTCTCCTGGGGCCGGGAGCTCCCCGTGCGTCTGTGGCCACCTCAGAAACCCTGGGTCTGCTCCTGGCACGGAGCGTGGGGAAGAGGCGGAGAGAGACGCCGACATGTTCTTACCTACCCCTTCTTCAGTGTCGCTCGCACCGGAGACCTTGAGACCGTTTCTTCTTTAAAGCATGGAGAATTCCGACGTAGTCCCTATTCCTGTCGTAGACGTCTGAGGCCGAACGGGTGCCCTGCCGTGTAGTTTCGTTCAGTTTGGGGGGCATCTGAGTTTCCTTTCTCTGCTTTATTTGTTCGGGAGTGACAAGTGGGTGTTTAGCCCCCAGTGTCAGCGGGTGGATATGCTTTTTCCAGACTCTCTAGGTTTCATATAACTGTGCAGGTTGGGGCGTTCCGCTCCTGTGCCATCGGGTGTAGGGATTATAATTACTTTTTATTGTTTCTTGCCATCCTACAACTGGATGCAGGACCTATCTGTGACTTTGTGGGTGTTTTTTTTAAATATATTTTTATTGATTTCAGAGAGGAAGGGAGAGGGAGAGAGAGAGAAGCATCAATGATGAGAGAGAATCATTGATCGGCTGCCTCCTGCACATCCCACACTGGGAATCGAGCACACAACCCTTGCATGTGCCCTGTCGGGGAATCAAACCGTGACCTCCTGGTTCATAGGTCAGGGGTCAACCACTGAGCCACACGGGCTGGGCTATCTGTGACTTTGCACATGCCCCTTGCCCAGCCCTAGGGTGCGATTGTGCGGAGAACAAGCAAGTTGTGCTGGCCCCGGCTGCTCTGGGGCAGGGCAGGCCTGCTGAGTGAGTTCTCCTGGTTATCAGGACCCTGCGAGGAGCTGCTTAGCCCTCTGCAGGGCGGACGAGTAACTGGCTTGACATTCCGTAGTAATTTAGCAGCGGTTAATGGCCACTTACTGGAAAATGTTACCAGGCTCTGCGGTGAGTGTTGTTAGGAAGTGAATTACTCTGGACGTGTCCCCAGGGCCCTTCCCCTTCTCCTCCAGCGGAGCTGGGCTGCAGGAAGTGGCACTGTGTTGCAATCCCGGCTTCACTGTTCCCTTGTATTATTTATTTTGTTTCAGATTTAAGGAGATTGTGTATTTATGTAGAAAAGTTTCCAAAGTAAGTATGTTGCTTTTCATGGTACCAGAGGCTTAGAGCCCAAGGGGGAGAGGGGTGTCCCCTGGGTTATTTTGCTGGCTAGCCCCCACCCGAAGGTGCCCAGGGGCAGCCGTGAGCCAGTGTCCAGCAACGTCAGGGTCACCTGTCATTAATCTGAGAGTCATCTGAGCTGAACATCTCTCCACGTCTTTACACATGTCCCGAGTGCAGACGGCTGGTTGCTTCCTGGCTGTTGTGCAATCCCTCACTTTGCAAAACCTCCGATGGGCCGCAGAGATGACAGCCTGCGGCTTTTTGAGCTTGCCGGGCCTGGGGTAGAATTTTGGCTTTGCCGTTGACTAGCTGTGTGACCTTGGACAGTTCACTCAACCTCTCTGAGCCTCAGGGGTGTTACCTGTCAACTGGTAAATGGCGATTCGGGCTCTCAGGGATGAAGGATATGTGTGCCATGGTGTGAGTCAACACAGGGCCGGGAACATGCTAACACTTTTCCTTGCCAACTTCAAAATAAAACAGCCCCCTTTGGCAGGGTGGAGCGTTGGGAGCTGAGGGAGTGGGGAGCAAAGAGCTCATTCTTTGTTTTTCTTTTGACCTGGAGCGCCCCCCCCCCGCCACCTTTCCTTGTGTGGAAGGAGGAAAACGGGGTGGCAGTGTATAGTGTCCCCGCATGCCACCAGTGATGGTGGAACGGGTCCCTTCCTTCTGCAGATGGGTTCTCATGGCCGGTTTGGGTAGCATGGAGGGAACCATATTGCCTCCAGCTGTATGGAGTGTCTTTTCGGAGGCTTAGTCGTCTGCACGCTGGGAGGCCGACATCATTCCACGTCTGGGCCCTGTTTTCAGCTCCTCCTTCCTGCTGGGGCTCTCGGTCCTTCCTAACTAATGTTAATGAGATCGTTTTCACCCGCCTCCCACTCCATCACCATGGCTGCTGCTCCTCCCCACATGCACGAGGACTCCCTCTGGGGCACTTGGCAGCCTCGCTCCCTGATGGCACCAGAGTCTGGATTTTCGCGGTTGGGCAGGTTCCTGATACTTCCGTGCCGTCGGCGTCCCGGGGCCCAGCCCGCAGCAGCACCCAGGGAGGGGGCCCGCTCAGCCGCCCCGCACACGACTGGCACACACTGACCAGGCTGTGGTTTGCTCTCTCTCCTCCCGCCCCCTCCAGAGTATAAGAAGAAGTACGGAGAAGAACACGGCTCCTGCCAGGCTGGGATAGCAGGCTTCTTCACCGAGGTGGGTGTCATCCCGTCCTAGGCATACAGCATGCCACCTGGGCTTTCTTCTAGCACCGCGGTTCTCAACCTGTGGGTCCCGACCCCTTTGGGGGTCGAACGACCCTTTCACAGGGGTCGCCTAAGACCATCGGAAAACACGTAATTACATATTGTTTTTGTGATTAATCACTATGCTTTAATTATGTTCAATTTGTAACCATGAACATACATCCTGCCTATCAGATATTTACATTATGATTCTTAACAGTAGCAACATTACAGTGATGAAGTAGCAATGAAAATAATTTGATGGCTGGGGGTCACCACAACATGAGGAACTGTATTAAAGGGTCGCGGCATTAGGAAGGTTGAGAACACTGGTCTAGCACTTTGATAGACGGGAAGAACGCATATATTAATGCACCTGGATTTCTTTTTGCAGACGTTACGTGGTAGACATGAACTCTGCGGGTTTCCTAAGTGTGTAGTGGATTGTTCTGATACTGTGTACTGAACTGTTTCCTGTCCCCTTTGGTTGGAAATACCATCCTGCCATGTGCCAAGGTTACTCTCTTCCGTCCCAGGAAGCGCTCAGATTGTTCAACCTCTATGTCCGTCCCTCCTCCAGGGAGGTCTAGTGTCCCCGTAGGTGACAGGGACCCACTGTCCGTTCAGGAGCAGGTGACGACACATGGATGGCCATGTTGTGAGAGTGGCTACGTGGGCTGGGTGTGCCCAGGAATTTGGAAGTGGGAGGGCCTAGAGGGAGGCCAGGTAGGGGGCTGTGATGGGGTCCAGCCCCAAAGCAACGTTCCAGGCTAGGGAGACCTTTAGGGATGAGAGGATGCGGTGAGGTGGAGAGTGTGAAGGCGGTACCAGTGGGCTGGGTGGGCAGAGGGCGTGGGGAGAGGAAGGTTTCCAGCCAGGGCTCTGGAGCCTGGTGTTCGGGGGAAGGGCCCCCCAAGGAGGGCTCAGTGGGGCAGGTATCCTGAGGGGTCTGCTTCACACATGGGCTGAGTGAGAGGATGAGGCACACATGTAGATGTTTCCAGAAGGTGTTTGGGTAGAGGGGGCCAATCCCCGCCTGAGTTAGAAACTTGGATCTGGCCAGTGCTAGTTACTGTCTGAGGGACTGTGTGTGCTTAGCGTGGAGGCCGAGGGTGCGGGGAGGATGCCTCCTTTCCATGGGGGGCAGGGAGAGAGTAGCCTCATCGCAGACCTGAGAACTCATCAGAGATGTTGATGAAGA